AGTAGGCTCATGCAACCTTGGACACGTAGAATAGCGACGCAAACAGTCCGCACCCTTGCCCCCGCGGCATCCGAATAAGCAGTGTTTCGGCACAGAGATAAGGGGGAAGACGCACAGTAGCCCCTGCAGGCAAGACGAACAATCTTAACAGCAATATAAGGACCGGCGGCACGACTGACACGCTGGAGACGCATTAACGTGCTAGGGAGATCGCCAATATCGATTTCGGGGAGCCAAGCATTGATCCGATCCCGCGGGACCTCCAACACCGAGCGACCAGGACGGGCACGCATGCGAGAGAGGCAAGTGAACAACTTTCTCTGCGCCGCTTTCCGCGGCAAGAGGGGGGGGGGGGCGCAGGATCCCAGGCAGCAGTTGGCCATGCGCCAACGACATCTGATATGGAATGCTCATTTGCCACCGCGCAACATGCACGCGCACAATATAGGAATCATCAGATCTGATGCACCCCCTCCCCCCCCCCCCGCCCTATGCAAAAGACAAGGCAGCGAAGCGCGCGGCGAGCCCTGGCGGCGAGGCTGACGCGCGGCAGATGCTTGAGCGGTGCCCCCCTAAAAGGCTTCATCCCTTCCAGTAACTCATGCGGCATCGCGTGCCATGGGCAGTTGATTAGTACTTGCGCACAGCGGGCGCGCGCCGCGCGAAGGGCCTGCGACGGTGCATAGCGCTGCAGCACCTACTGCAGCAGCGATAGACATAACACATGAAAGGTGTTAATTGCCAGTGGGGGCCCAAGACCAGCGTTCCGAACGTCGAGCGTGCGACCCAGGAATTTCGGGGCCAGCTCGCCCCCCGCGCGCCCAGGCCCCTCGGGCCCATTCATGACCCCAAGATACTTCGTTGCGCGGGTGACGATCATAGCACGGATACGCTCCCGCAAGAGTCCACCAGGGCACGGGCATTCTCCTCCCTCGCATCCCCCACCACCAATAAGGAGCAAATGCGCGTGTTGAGGCGGAGGCCCGTGGCCGTTTCCAGCGCGCAGAGGCCCCGAAGCACCGCGCCGAGCCCACTCCTCGCACCTGGGGCGCAGCATAAAAGGTCGTCACAGTAGGCAGGCACAGTAGGCAGGCAGCCTATCTATACGGCGGCTCCCACGAGCCAACAACCAACGCAACAGGACCAGCGGCGAGCGCGAACAGGCACCTGCTCGATGGACCACCCTGCCTCACACCCCGCCCGATGTCAACCACATGCTCAGTAATCATTCCCCCCATCATGACCTCCCCCGCGCCATTCGTGTAGAGCGTCCCAAAGAATGCGGCCACCGCTGCCGGCAATCCCATAGCTCTTAGGACCGCAAGGGTCCAAACAACATTGAGCGACGGGAAGGCAGCGGC